ATGTAGAAGTGTGTTATGCATCTCGCAGGGTAAACTGGCAGACTAACGGGACGACCCGCAGCCCGAATGACGTATAGAAAATATTGAAATACGGAAACGACAGCTATCTGTAGCATGCAAGAGACCAGGGTGCCGTTGTACAAAACAAACTTAGTACTAAGACTGCCTTAAGTATATGTTAGGTATGAGAGATACGGTCGCCTTAGCGCTAAGATCGCTTTGTACAACGACACCCAGTTTGTTTCCAGGCTAGTTAGGCCATATATGAAAATATTCTTGTTTCTCGTTACCGCCCGACCCAAAATTTCAACCCGACCCTAAGATTATTTTTTTTGAAACACTAAAGAAAATGCCACTTTGACTCTCAAAATGTGCATGAAAGTTTCACACTTCTAAGTTTTGGTTTTCTATCGGAGAAAAGCCGTAAATTTCCACAGAAATCAAGGGGTTTTGCCATGAAATAAAATAACATGTAAAAATAAAATCCGCGGATGCAAACACCGTAATCGAAAAGTTAGTGTAAGTCATCAAATTGATGGCTTGCGATTGTCTGGTGCATCACGAGAGTTCTAGATGATGTTTTACATCCTTCAGTCCTCCAGCTTTACCTTCAAGGGCCTTTTAGGGGCGGTGAGGTAGCCTAGTGGTTAAAGCCTTCGCTCGTCACGCCGAAGACCCGGGTTCGATTCCCCACATGGGTACAATATGTGAAGCCCATTTCTGGTGTCCCCCGCCGTGAAATTGCTGGAATATTGCTAAAAGCGGCGTAAAATCAAACTCACTCACTCAACACCCTTTTCCAGAAGCAAAGGTGAATGTGAAACCCATAGCCTCCACCGCTTGGAACCGAGGCCAGGTATCCCTTTCAGAATATAATAGTATTGTCACTGTTTCATCATCCTATGAATCAAGTTCAGAATCAGATTCTAAGAGCCGCCGATCTGCCGTTCTGGCTTTTTGGATTCTGTTTTCCTATGAGTTTCATCGCTCTTCCACGTATGGTCCGGGGGAAGAATAAAGTGCTGCAGGTCGTGAGAGGTGACGGAATTGGGTAACCTGTCTGCCGTGGGTTGCATCCCTGTGTCGATGGAGGACGGGATTCGTTTGGTTGATGGCACTGGTTCCAGGAATAGCGTTCCTCTGCTCAATACACTACTTCGACCCTTATTTTACTTAGACGGGTGGTAGAATGGGCCCGTTTATATCTATTGGCTGGTCATGATCTGTGTATGAAGTTTTTGATTTGGCTTGACTCTACAATTACTTGTCGAATGGTTTACTGTTATCTAAGGTACGTACCTGCAGCATATACCCTTCATGGATAGGCAATTGAAATAACAATTTATGTAATAAAGTCCCAAAATACATATAATACACAAAATAAATTTAAAATATTCTCAAACTGATAATTCAAACATTATTAAGTGACGGGGGGTCTACCAGTTGTCGACGTTTCAACATAGATTCTAATGTCGTTGTATGTCGAAAAGTCGCCTTTCACAGAATATATCCATAAAAACTCTCATCATTCTTCATCAACTCAACTTCTAAAATGCCCATCAAAGAAGTCATGAATACGCTGAAAAAGTATGAAGGACACTGAGAAACGTCAGACTGCAATATCCCCAGTGAAGAAAAATATAAACACAGTGTTTACGAATTAATTTGATAAGTTTCATATGAATATTTTGTTTTGAACAGCTATTTATAACTACATTAATAAAGCGCACGTAAAATCTCCCAAGCATGCCAGCAAGATCGATAGAGAAAACATTCAATTGGAAACACGACATTTGTTACGCCAACAAACGCACGTGTGTATTTGAATCCCTCGTCGTTCATGGCCCTATCCTTAGGAACAGCTCAAAAGTGATGAAGATTTTTTTTATGGAGAAGCATGTACAACGTGAATGATCCCCCTAAAATTTATATTCGAAGTAAGTGACCACCCCCTTCCCGGCATGTCATTTACAAAATCCCCTCCCCTTCCCATATTTTTAATTAATAACTTTTAATATTTTTATGTACAAAATTGCTGACCCCAGTACATGTGTACACAAATGGGTGACCCCCCTTAAAATCATCATCAATCCCCACCATAAATTATGAACGGTCCTTTATTCAAAACTTCAAATTATGCAACACAATTCTGTTAGCTATGTTTATAGCTTCTAAATGACAATACACATTTTCACGAGTTTTTATACAATCACCTCGTGAGATGTAGCAACCAAAGGCTCCAGCTGCAGCAGTAACAGCTGAAAACTGCTGGGCATAAAGATGACGTCAACTCTCTTATCATACAAACCTGTGATCAGATAACAATTGCTATTATAAAAATATAACAGCATGAAGTATTAAAAACATCACAATATATCATCAAAGTATATGTGTGTGTTTATTTCTACTCAAAAGTATACAGTGAAGGCAAATGAAGTTAGAATTATAATCTTACGAAGAAATCACATCTATTTTGATTAAACAATTGATATGGTATCATAAATATAAATATGAAAATGACCATCTCAGCAGACAGTACATATGGGCAAACGATAACATATCAACAGGGAGAAAGCCAATAGTGTATGACCACTACCTACAATCCAATTTTAAATTTATAAATGACTTCCTGAAATATGACAATACATTTCATTCATAAAGAATTAGTAGAACAAATTTTCTTGAATATACAGGATTATTATCTTCATTGAAAACAAATTCAAAACTGGGTTCGTTCAATATTAATAATCAGAATGATTTACCTTTTATTCCTCCTAACTTGGAAATACTATTTACATCTAAGATAGGATGTAACATACTTTACAACCGGCCTCTATACAGGGAGGTTCCAAACCAAAAACCGCTATTTCAAAGTATATGAGAAAACGAATTGAATATAGATATCACACTTAATCTACATAAACATACACTTTTATACCATTTCCAGCATCTTATAGTGCTAAGCACAGATGGCTTCAATATCGTATTCTCCATAGAATCCACACAACAAATAAAGATTTATACAAATACAAACTAATAGAACCACCACTTTGTACATTTTGTGATGTTGAAATAGAATGGATTATTCATCTACTATATGAATGCAAATTTGTGAAAAGGCTGTTGCAAGATCGTCAGAATAGGTTGAAAATGAAACAGACATCCATTTCAAATTAAACGCAGAAACAATTATTCTTGGATGAAAAGAGAGATGAAATTAATTTCATTTTTATTTTTAACGAAAGAATACATCTATTCTAAAAATGTAGCAAACATTTTACTCTCTAGCTGGTCTAAAACCAAAATTGAATTACAGTTACCAATTACATAAATTAAATGCTTACTCTCACTGCAAATATGACACCTTTGTCTCATTTTGGTCGTCTTGCCACAACCTATTTACACAGATAGTGATTGTATTTGACTTGCTTTATATATTACACATCTGCCGACCTGTGAAATGTGTATGAAATGCTGTACCCAGATCAATAGAAATAAAGTGATAAGGCAAATGCAGTTAGAATTATGAACTTACACAGAAATCACAACGTCTATTTTGATTAAACGAAAGATATGGCATCACAACATCTATTTTGAGTCACCAAAGGATGTTAAATTAAGGTGTTTTTCTACTTGTACTCATTAGAGCCATTTCGACCACCAACTTTTATATCGGTTTCAAAGGGGGTGTTGACTATTTGAAAGATGAAACCATTTCTCTTGTTGTACAGACTCGCGGTAAGACAGAAACAATTGCTATTATGCACACGAAAAACTAACAGAACGTACACTTAAAAACACAAAAATATCATCAAAGTGTATAAATTTGTTCATATCTACTCAAAGTGACACAGTCGAGGCAAATTAAGTTAGAATATTAAACACACAGAGAATTCACAACATCTATTTTGATTAAACAAAAGATATGATATAACAACATTTATTTTAATCTGTTTTGTTTTTTACAAATAATTCTTAGAACTATTTCGATAACCAGCTTTAAAAATAGGTTTAAAGGTAATGGTTGTTGTGAGTGAGAGAAAGCAAGTATGGCTTTACGCAGTATGGCAGCAATTTTCCGGCAATATCACGGCGGGGGACACCAGAAATGGGCTTCAAACATTGTACCCATGTGGGGAATCGAACCCGGGTCTTCGGCATGACGAGCGAATGTTTTAACCATATGACTACCCCACCGCCCCGTGCCTTAAAGGAATTACAACAGCAAAATGCAGAGAATAACCAGTCACGAGTATCTACTGAAACAGTGGGGACAAGTGACGGACCACTGAAAATTTTAGTGATGACTTTGCGAAAAGGAAGAGCACGTCTTGCCCTAATGGTAGTACTCGGCACTCAAAGGAAAGTAAATTGTTGGGTGGACTGATGCATTGACTAAAGTTGCTAATATAGACAGCAGTGGGTCAGTGAGTGAGTTAATATTTAACGTCACATCGGCAATGTTTTAGCCATATCGTGATGCGAACAAATTTGACGTTGGTAAAGAATATGTGTATATTATAAAACCTCTCGTCAAAGGACAGTAAAACATCTGGACTATCACAGTTATAATTAAAACTAGCATGTTAAAACTAATCGCACTATTTGGACAATACATAATATATAAACAGGCTATAAATCGCAAACAGCTGAAGGTAGATCACCATAGTAGGGACCATGGGGACTTACAGTGTTTTTGCTACCTGCATGGATTTACAGCAACAGTGAGTGAGTGAGTGAGTTATTTAACGTCACATCGGCAATATCTCAGCCATATCGTGACGAAAACAATTTATACAATAAATAGTGAAAATACTTTGAAGATTAAAACCTGGACAGTTAACATACTAGAGAATCACAGCAATGAATATAAAACTAGCGAGCAAAGCTAAAACATTCCAATTAAAGAAGACAATACAGTATAAAAGACGGGCTATAGATCGCCAACAGCTGAAGATAGATCACAGTACTAGTCACCATGGGGACCTACAGTGCTTTTGCTACCTGCATGGATTCCAGTAACAGCAGTGGTGTGATGCAATGAATCATATTGCTATTATAAACAGCAATTGAGTGATGCAATTACTTAAATTGCTATTATACACAGCAGTGGAGTGATGCAATGAATGTTATAGCTTTTAGAGACAGCAACGGGATGAAGCAATGACTAACATTGCTGTTACAGACAGCAATGGACTGATGCAATGACAAAAATTGCTACTACAGACAGCAATGGAGTGATGTATTAAGTAAAATTGCTATTACAGACAGCAGTGGAAAGATGCAACACTAAATGTACTATTATATACAGCAATGGAGTGATGCATTGACTAAAATTGCTATTACAGACAGCAATGGAGTGATGTATTAAGTAAAATTGCTATTACAGACAGCAGTGGAAAGATGCAACACTAAATGTACTATTATATACAGCAATGGAGTGATGCATTGACTAAAATTGCTATTACAGACAGCAATGGAGTGATGCATTTTTAAAATTGCTATTGTATACAGCAATGGAGTGATGCATTAACTAAAATTGCTATTATATACAGCAATGGAGTGATGCAATGATTAAAATTGCTATTACAGACAGCAATGGAGTGATATATTGACTAAAATTTCTATTGTATACAGCAATGGAGTGATGTAATTACTAAAATTGCTATTGTATACAGCAATGGAGTGATTCATTAACTAAAATTGCTATTACAGACAGCAGTGGAAAGATGCAACACTAAATGTACTATTATAGACAGCAGTGAAATGGTGCAATGAATCAAATTTCTATTATATTAGACAGCAGTTGAGTGACTTAAATGTGCTATTATAGACAGCAGTGAAGTAATGTAATGAATCAAATTGCCATTGAGTGATGCAATGAATGTAGTTGTTATTATACACAGCAATTGAGTGGTGCAATAGCAAATATTTTGCGTAAGGGCAAAAAAGCATCTGCATAATTTACACGTTTTTCTCCACATACGTTGGTTTCTTCACTTATTTACACTTCACTGTCAAGGTACAATTTACCCTTTAATGTACATATACACAAAATCCTTTTGCACGTGTTGTACCTTTGACCTTTGGATCACATACACGTCTACACCTGTCTGTCTGTCAAAGACGACATACCAACATAACAAGGTCGTCGGAATTAAATAGATGCAATAGCAATAACAAAGGTATATCCACCTATAAATACACCTGTCTGTCTGTCAGTCAAAAACGACATACCAACATTACTAGGTCGTCTAAATGAAATAGGTGCAATAGAAAGGACAAAGGTATGTCCACCTATAAATACACCTGTCTATCTGTCAGTCAAAAACGACATACCAACATTACTAGGTCGTCTAAATGAAATAGGTGCAATAGAAAGGACAAAGGTATGTCCACCTATAAATACACCTGTCTGTCTGTCAGTCAAAAACGACATACCAACATTACTAGGTCGTCTAAATGAAATAGGTGCAATAGAAAGGACAAAGGTATATCCACCTATAAATACACCTGTCTGTCTGTCAGTCAAAGACGACATACCAACATTACTAGGTCGTCTAAATGAAATAGGTGCATAGCAATGACAAAGGAATATCCACCTATAAATAACAGGAACACGGTAAAATATGATGTTATACGATACACTGTAAGACATATATTTTGAAAACAATACATTCACTTTATATGTCCAGAAGGTAATAACGTAAATGGTGCTATGAATTTGTTCCATCTGTTCCATCATGTTGAGAGAAAAAAAATAAAAATGAAAAAATTATTTCAACATAGTCAACATGTAACAAGGAATTCCAAACGACAGAAAAACGATTAGGGTCACTCGATGCATTCATATTGCTATTGTTATTCATGTCATGGCATGCTTTCTTTATATATAGTCTTTCATAGTTCTATAGTTACAATGTAATTTATCATGACATGCAGTCTTTATTTGCTTCATATTTACTTCCATACCTCTATAGTTAATCTGGTATGGTATGCAGTCTTTCATTTTTCTAAAGTGAATCTGTCAGGCTTTGACAGACTAATTACAGTGATATGAAAGAATTGGATTATCCTTAACTTTTTAACGAGTTGTGTCTGTAAAACCATGGAACGAATGGTAAACACTAGATCAACTTGGTATCTTGAAACCAATAACATTATAACAAATATTCAATGTGGTTTCAGGAAAAATCATAGTACCATTGATCATTTGGTACGTTTAGAACCCTTTGTTAAAAATGCTATCATAGTAAATAAACAACATGCAGTATCGATATTCTTTGATCACACCTGCTCAATTTCCTGTGTAAAGTTTCAACTCCTGACATTGTTTGCCTTGACACTCACAAAAATATATTTTACTGCCTTCATGAAACTAAACACCATTTCAGAAAACAATTATCTTAATAATTATCATCATCACCTACATATATGCCTCGTAGCATAGGGGTGTCAAAATGTATGACTGGCTGAGTTTGGTTTTACGCCGCTTTTAGCAATATTCCAGCAACATCACGGCGGGGGACACCAGAAATGGGCTTCACACATTGTGCCCATGTGGGAATTCGAACCCGGGTCTTCGGCGTGACGAGCCAACGCTTTAACCATTAGGCTACCCCGCCGCCCCTCAAAATGTATGACCACAGGTACAAGTATGTAATGCATTCCTATCGTAATCTTAGAAAGGGCTACATTCCAAAACAGAAACAGCCCGGTGTCACCTTTTACTCGTTAACTTGACCCTTTCAGTTGACCAGTCAAACATGTTTATGTGCACGTTTGAATACACTTATTCGAAACGCTGGCGCCGCAGGGCAATCCAAATAAAACAGGAAAACCCAAATGGCATCATCACAAAATTAGGTAGGTTTCGGAGGGTTAGAGAGTATGGCAATTCTAAAGTGGCAATCCTCAAATGATATGTGTAATATTATAAGATAAAAAGTAAGATAGTCACACTGTTAACTCTAAGCCTACGGCAGCAAACAGACTGGTAAGATAATATCCTAAAATCTTTGATGATGGTCATTAAAGCGTACGTACAATATCTTCAGACTTTGTCTTGTATGAAATGACTGAGAGCAGAACGTACCCTATCACTGTTGCAGCGAGGCATCTCATAGAAGTGTCGGAATTCAAGCCTCACTGTTGTATCTCATGTGCCGGAATTCAAGTCTCACTGTTGTATCTCATGTGCCGGAATTCAAGTCTCACTGTTGTATCTCATGTGCCGGAATTCAAGTCTCACTGTTGTATCTCATGTGTCGGAATTCAAGTCTCACTGTTGTATCTCATGTGTCGGAATTCAAGTCTCACTGTTGTATCTCATGTGCCGGAATTCAAGTCTCACTGTTGTATCTCATGTGCCGGAATTCAAGTCTCACTGTTGTATCTCATGTGCCGGAATTCAAGTCTCACTGTTGTATCTCATGTGCCGGAATTCAAGTCTCACTGTTGTATCTCATGTGCCGGAATTCAAGTCTCACTGTTGTATCTCATGTGCCGGAATTCAAGTCTCACTGTTGTATCTCATGTGCCGGAATTCAAGCCTCACTGTTGTATCTCATGTGCCGGAATTCAAGTCGCCTGTGTTTCCTAGATGGACGCGATATACATACATTTCACGTTCAACCTTCTGACCCCTCCACTTTGACCCTGCTCCCTAGTGCTATCAAATAAATTTCATTTCGAAAACAATTTAGAAAAAATATATCACATAACCTTGTTCTAGAGGTCCGAATCTGATTTTCAAATTTCCACTATGTAACAACATTGAGAAACCGTCTTATATCGTTTAGTCAAACCCTTTTCTATCCATTTGTTTACAGCACAGACTTCCCCCTTCTCACCTCAGATCATCCGCATTGTGTACTTAAAAGACTTTTCCACCCTCACGTGACCACAACACTTTCCAGTTAACTGTAAAAACAAGTCCTCGTCATTGTACCTGTAAACATCTCACCAATACACTGTACATCACTTGCTTGAGAACGGTGTTAGAAATAACATCATTACATCGCTCCGCATGGTAATGAAGATGCTGTACATCCTTATGTTTCCTTAATTAGTCAGTACGCTACATTAAGAAGCACTCACGAAGATCCCAGGTAGAATTGCCCTTCAGCAACGCACGGATCTGGAGATCAAGGCTCGTTGACTTGGTCGTTGCATGTCATGGTGTTCCAAAAGCACATGTCGCTACTCATGATGTCAATCACTGGAATGCTTGGTCCATAGTCGGATATTTACAGACCACCGTCGTATTGCTGTAATATAGTATAAGCAAAAGTACCAAGGTGTTCCTGATGTGTCCACGGTCATTATCCAGAAATGTCTTCATTCCAATTGGTTCCAGGTAGAAATAGAGGCTTCAGCAACGTATGCCTGTTGTAATAGGCGACTAAATGGATCGGGTTCGTTGACTGGAGCGACCTCATGTCTTCTTAGGCCAACTGGATGGGATCGAGAGATGCACAAAATGTCATTTACTGGAATTGCAGCTCCAGACTCGATTTTTCTCAGACCAACATCGTTTGGTTTGAACATTACTGAGCATGGCGTTAAGCACGTTAAGCACACCAAACAAACGTAATTAACAACTTCATTGAAAATTTAAACTGTTGACGAGACACCCTGGTGATCAGTGGCGTCGTGGTACCGGATACTTCTTTCACAAATATATACTTTGCTAAATTGTTACCGGTTCATGAAACAGGAGCTCGCGATTGACATCTGCACTCGTTGTTCTGAAGGATGAAGGATGGACAGGAATATTTGCTTTTCATAAAGGCGTGAGCTATTAATATAATTTCTTCAAAGTTATTTCACAAATATACTCAAGAGTGACTGTGCAGGAACTGTCATGAAAACAGGAGTTTATCAAGTGTAAACAAGATTCTAAAGGATAGACTGGAATTATTGTTTTACACCAAAGGCTTGAGTTATTGAGTTCTACAAAATTATTTCACAAATATACTCATGAGTGATTATACAGGGACGGTTCATAAAGCAGGAGTTTTTCAAGTGTAACCAATGTTCTAAAGGATAAACTGGAATATATATTTGTTTTACTCCATAGGCTTGAGCTATTTCACAAATATACTCATGTGTGACTATGCAGGAACAGTCTAATACGCTTTCCTTAAATGTAAACAAGATTCTACATGATGGACTGGAATGGTTGTTTTTCACTAAGAACTATTATGTTCTACTCCGTTATTTCACAAATATACCCATAAGCGAATGTGCCGGCACTGTCTGTAAAACAGGTCCGGCCGTCAAACATATCGCCCTTAAACAACTCTAAACAAGGTTCTGTAACAACCAGTGCATGGCCTGGTTGACACCAAAGGCTTGGGCTACTGAGTGTTTCTCCATCCACCCACTTCCACGCCATACTGTCCACATCCAGATAGGCACCTATTGCGCGTCTTCCGCTAACATCGATACCTGCAGCATAAAGAAGTGACTGTTTGAGTATGGTTTCACGCCGCTTTTAGCAACATTCCTGCAATAACACTGCGAGGGACACCAGAAATTAGCTTTACACAATGCACCCTTCGGCGTTACGAGCGAACGCTTTAACCACTGGGCTACCCCGAAACCCGTATATAGACTGACTGACTGAGTTTTTGGTTTTACGCCGCTTTTAGCAATATTTCAGCAATATCACGGCGGGGGACACCAGAAATGGGCTTCACTCATTGTACCCATGTGGGGATTCGAACCCGTGTCTTCGGCGTGAGGAGCCAACGCTTTAACCACTAGACTACCCCACCGCCCCCCGTATATAGAAGTGTAATGAGACGTTTGTATATTGGAAGTTTATTAGAGTTTCCATTTGTTTTTACCTCTCTCAAACTATCGAAATAGAGTTATTCCTACTGTGTAAGCTGATAGCTCTTGTTATTTTGGCACATAAATACAGGAAATGTTGTAAAATTAAAAGGTTTAATCCTCGTGGGACTTTCTGGATTAGTATTGGACCTGAGCAACTTGATGGATCAGAGAGTCAGGCTTGATTGATGGCGTGTCATCGTAGCCCGACGTTGTGGTAATCGATGATCGTAATGTAAACCTTTGGTTAGATTTTCTCAAAACGATCGTATACTCGGTCTGTTAATCGTCATGGGACATATCGACATTAAAGCATTCTTTGTATTCAATACCAAAGTTACAGATCAACAGTACGCATGAACAGTTGATCAGGTGTTCACAGCAAGAGGATCAATTTACCCCGTCGTGGTACAACGACATATTCTAGTTCTCAAGGCAGTCAACTCGACCAGCAAAGATGAAGTTCCCGTGGGAATATTCTTCCAGAAAGTGGATTAGGATCGGTTATGCGGTAGTGTTGTATATATGCTCGTCAAAACAATTTAGGGAACACTGGTATTTTGTAGCACTATTCGTTTCATTCCTTTAAAAGTTGGAAATGGTCCCAGACAGTACGTGTTACCAAGGTCAGGACGCCATCGTGTTACAATAGGAAGGGAAGACCGATACCTCGCTGTTTCAAGAAGCAGTGAGGAGAAGAACCATCACAGCAAACCATCTTCGACGTCAACTTAGGGCTGCTACAGGAACAAACGTCTGAAGGAAAGAAAACCCGGCCCCGACGTCAAGCCGTTAGACCACGTCTTCGTCCGCGTCACAGAGCACCCAGAGACGCATGGGCACGACAACAGTGCACGCGTGGACAAGACAACAGTGCTCAGCAGTTCTTTTCTCTGACGAATCGAGGTTCGCACTGCAGCATAATGACGGGTGTGTTCTTTTCTACAGACGATGTTGTCAACGTTTTGCTAACGCCAACGTTCGTGAACACAATCGTTTTGGCGGTGAAAGTGTCATAGTGTGGGTCGCCTTCTCATTTCATCACAGAACCAATCTGTAGTCACTGACCTTCTAGGACAAAGCAATGTTAATCGCATTAAATGGCCAGCATATTCTCCTGATACGGAACCCATAGAACACGTGTTGGATCTGTTAAGCAGACTTGTTAGAGAGAACCGCCTGCTCAATGGCTGAGACTATGCTGCCAGGCTATCCCACAGAGTGAGTGAGTGACTTTAGCTTTACACCGCTTTTAGTAATATTCCAGCATTATCACGGCGGGGGACACCAGAAATAGGCTTCACACATTGTGCCCGTGTGGGGAATCGAACCCGGGTCTTCGGCGTGACAAGCCAACGCTTAAACCACGAGGCTACCCCACCGCCCCTATCCCACAGAACACACTGCAGACATCAATGAACTCGTTGTGTTGCACGTGTGCCTGCTTGAGGTGGTCATTGACTTTTCTCTCAGCCTTGGGTTGAGAGCGTCCGCCCGGAGAGCGCAACGTTGCGGGTTCGATCTCCGGCCGCGTCATACCAAAAGACGATAACTTATGGAACTTGTTGGTCCCTGCCTGGCCCTAGGCATTAATGGCTACAACAAGGACTGGTCGCCTCGGAGTCAGTATAATGTGTCTGAGTGGGGTATTCATGCTTCACTGCGGCATGGTATCTCTGTGGGCTAGCACTATAAAACCAGCTTAAGTCTGGGCTAGTACAAGCAGCTACACATACACATGCACGCACGTCGTCATATGAGCGAAATATTCTCAAGTACAGCGTTAAACCCCATTTGACATCACCTCACCTCAGACCCTTGATTTTCGGTTTGGACCCAAGTGACATCAATGACATTACCACTTGTTCACGTAATGAAGCGAAATGGATTGTTCATGGATTTTCTTTCTGTGTACACAGTAAATACTGTTTTACACATGTCTCTGTCTTCTGTTCCTGTTTGGTTTTAAGTGCAAAGATATCAGTGTTCCCTTACTTGTTTTGAGTAGTATATGTCTGTAGTTTACACATTAGTACATATATACTGTAATCATGGAATAATATATTAGCCATTAAAGTATTCTGTAAAAGGAATGCGTACATATGTGTGTGTGTGTGTGTGTGTGTGTGTGTGTGTGTGTGTGTGTGTGTGTGTGTGTGTGTGTGTGTGTGTAGCTATGTGTGTGTGTGTTTGTGTAACTTTGTGGTGTGTGTGTGTGTTGTGTTGTGTGTGTACGTACTATTTGTATTTTGAGTAGCTATGGGTAGGTTTGGTAACTTTGGGTCACTCGATTGTTTAACGCTTGAATGGCTTTGTGTAAATTAATAACGCAAGCACTTCACCAGCATAAGCCACTACACTTTATTGGGTACACCTACAGAATACAGAACACCTACGAGCCATATTGTCAGTGTCACGTCACCCTAACCCTAACCCTAACCCTAACCCTAACCCTAAACCTTACCCTAACCCTAACCCTAACCCAAACCCTAACCCTAACCCTAAGTAAACTCGCGTGCTTTCAAAGATGGCGGAAGGTATCCGTTATTCTGTAGACGTACTCTTTATTGTTAAAGGAGGTCCCAACAGATCCACCCGTCAAAATCCGGTCTTCCGTAACCCATGCTTGTCGTAAGATGCGACAAACGGGATCGGGTGGTCAGGAATGTTAAGATGGTTTGTTGTTTAACACCGCACTCAGACCACCCGATCCCGTTACGATAAGCATGGGTTGCTGATGACCAATTTATACCCGGATCTTCACGGGTGAATGACAACAATTACGTTAAGTAAGGGTCAGCCTGGTGACCAGATTCTACCCAAACTGCCCTAGTGTTCCCCCTAGGCACATTTAGGAGGGCGCTGCGCCCTGCCCTTTGATTTTTGCGCCCTGCCCACTGAATAATTGGTCGAAATGAAAACTTGACAACAGTTTGTGTTGTTTTGCACAGATGTAAATGAGAATGTGTGTCATGTTTACTGGGAATGTCAGGAGACTCAAACCTTTTCGATAAACCTACAAATTTGGCTTAACAATTGTTATTCACATTCGTTGAAATTATCAAAAAAACATGATTTGGTTTGGTGCTCAACGTGAAAATAGACTACTAAATCACATCATCATTGCTGCGGTATCACGGCTTTGTATATCTGTAATATTTTAATCTTGGGAACCAATAGAAAAATATATAAAAAACAACTGCCCACTGAAGGAACAGTGTTATTACAGTGAAACAAAACTAATTCACAATGGTAGATATATAATGCGTTACGTACCATTTGCAGTCATAAAGGCTTCAAGCAGTTTCAGTTTGTTAGGCGTCTTCACGGTCATCAAGTCTCCGCCGTCCATCTGACATTTCAGTCTTGCCGCTGCATTGGGCACAGAAGAAGTGGACACCCATATGCATGTGTCTTCAATCGGTTTGTATGGAGAGACGCAGTTATCTGTGGGGCAAAAGAAGGTCGATTTCATAGAAACATAACACCCTTGTCTTTGTATTGCAGATCTAAAGAATTACAAACATGTTGACAATTTTGTTTTGACATTTTAAATTATGATGTGCAGAAGTCTAGAAAATGCCTATAGGGCCAGTTACAGCCAAAGTTTTATTAAATTAACACATCATTAAATCTGGCATAGAGGAATTTTGAGCTAGCGGTCTCTAGAATTCATAGTATGGTCAGCATAAATAATTGTTACTTCTTGACTTTTAATTATTTACTGATGTTTGGGGCCGCCTCAGTGGTGTTGTGGTTAGAGCGTCGCCCGGAGAGCGGAAGGTCGCGGGTTCGATCCCCGACCGCGTCATACCAGAAGACGTTAAAATATGGTACATGTTGGTCCCTGCCTGGCGCTCGGCATTAATGCATTAATGGGTACAACAAGGACTGTCGGCTCGGAGTCAGTATAATGTGTCTGAGTGACTTATTCATGCTTAACTGCAGCATGGTATCTCAGTGAGCTAGCACTATAAATCGTCTGGGCTAGTACGAGCAGCCACACATTCACACGCATGCACGTCGTCATATGAGCTAAATAATCTTACGTACGACGTTAAACCCACCTCACCTCACAGATCTAGATGTTCGGTAGTCCGGGAGATGTGCTTTCCAGACAAGCAGGGTTATGCACCAGCATACTGCATATTTGAATACCATTTCCATTTCTGTCGACTTGCGAAATAGTGATAAGTTTTGGAAGTTTGTGTTGTGGTCATGCAAGTCGCATATATTTTAGAATACCATTCACTCGCCAAATGTTTCTGCCACGGAAGCTTACCTTTCTTCAAGAACGTCTTCATTCCAGGTGAATCCAGATATGTGATATTTGTGTGGACATCGTATGTGTTACGAATATAACACGCCCCAGAGTAGAAGGAGAAACTATGGCAGGTTTTATTCTGAAAACAAAGTCCTGCACAGTCAACAAATGTGTCGTAGGCCAAATCCCGATTCCAGTCCTTCCCAACTTTATCATCTAATTCCTCCGCCCTTGTGAAATGACGAAAGACAGTATGGCTGTAAGTATACTGGAGACATGCTGTAACTAGTATGGTGAACCCAATCATCTCAGAATGTCCGAATGTCTCCGATGGTGCCAGCCCAGCCTCAGGTATATGGTTGTATATGTTCGAAGCAGCAGAATCGACAAATCGATTTGTTGAACAAAAACCTATTGGCAAAGTAATCGTAATTGGCGATTCTGGGTTTGAGTGGTGACACGTGGTCAGAGTTAAGGCGTAGTTCACTGGTATTGGTCAAGGAGTGTACACAGAAGACACACGGAAACTAGTACTGTGAGCCCAATCGTCTCAGAATGTCAGACCAGAGTGTCTACCTTACTGGCAAAACAGCCTCACTGTGTGGTATGGATGGATCTTTGACTACTGTTCCTTGGGGATCATGACATAACGATTACTTAAAGATTGTTTTTCTTATTTTCGTTACGTTGCTTGAAAGTTGAGACCTCATGAAATATTCATTACATTTCCATTTCATGCAAATAGGCGGATATATATGATCAGCAGAGCGAAAACTGTTTAATTTACTGTTTAGTAAACAAGTTAGGTTGAAAAAGTAAAACAGAAAACTTAAGTTAGGATGAAAAAGCAAAACAGAAAACCTGACACTCGTGATTTTTTTTAAAAGGTTCTTAATATCAGATTTATCATAATTTCAGTTGTATGCTGTGCTCAGAACATCTTGACATCAAAGGGAAACAAAAAAAAACATGTCTCGCCGAAACTCTTTAACAACGATAACGTCCATGATGTCAAGGTACCCTCGTCAAAGAAATTCACAGCGTGCAGAACAGAATTTCGATTGAGGTCTTCAGAAAGGGTTGTGGCTTCGTCAGTCGTCTCTTACAAATACAGGCTCTTGCTATAGCGACCATAGACTGACCAGCATCACGCCTCCCCATAGCACGTTGACGTTCATGATTTGAAAAGCGTGTTTTTCAAGTCACATTCTATGTTTGTGTTCAGTTAAAAGTAAACATGCACCGAATGAACTCATGAATTTGCTTTTCACACGTGCATTTCGTGTTTTTCGTCTTTATAGGCTACAAGGTCAAGGTTTGCACGAGAATTTACAATTTCACGAAATTAAGGCATTCACCTTGTTTACTACTGTTTAAAATACTTGCAAATTCATTTGATTAAATCGAAAAGAAAATGTCAAAATTTGTCAGTGTCACTAGACCCTTCATTTGCAACCTTCATAGCCAAGTGATAAAAGCACCATTGTCTCTGGTATTAACATGCCCTTTTCACAGCGATTCAAACACGCGAGATATTTATACTCAAATGGTCAAGATAAGAGTTGTTAATGTTTGCTGAACGCACAAATTAGCGATTTATGTATTTGCCCAGAGTCCTATGCCAGAGGGCGGTGGCTCATCGACCAACCTGGTAGGACATATCTTTTCAGGATATTTTCCTGCTTGAGTATACCCTCCTGGTACCTTTGGTGTCGTCTGTTGGAGGTCCACAAACATAAGGCATCGTTCATGTAGACAATCCATGTTGAATGGGGAACTAAGAGACTGCTTATCGATTGTAAGAAAAGAAAATAATTCTAGTTTCTGCAAAATCACTGGCCATTGTTCACGCCGAGGTTGCATCTCACAGAACATTAGACCGCCTCCGTTGTGTAGTGGTTAGAGCGTCCGCCCGGAGAGCAGAAGGTCGCGGGTTCGATCCCCGACCGCGTCATACCAAAAGACATTAAAATATGGTACTTGTTGGTCCCTGCCTGGCGCTCAGCATTAATGGGTACAACAATGACTGGTCGGCTCGGAGTCAGTATAATGTGTCTGAGTGGGGTATTCATGCTTCACTGCAGCATGGTATCTATGTGGGCTAGCACTATAAAACCAGCTTCAGTCTAGGCTAGTACACGCAGCCGCACATACAAACGCGAAATATTCTCCAGCACGACGTTAAACCCAATTTCACCTCACCTCACAGAACATTAAACAACAGCAAATGTTGGAAGCTGCCTCTGAGATATGAAGGTTCCAGAGCTGCACTTTCATGAAAGATAATGAAGTCAAATAAATGCCAACATATTCGCATATGGTGTTCCGACACGTACGGTCTCACTCAAAGCAGGCTATTTTCACTGAAGGGTCGATGCTTTTATTCCAAATTCCCTTAGATGTTACTTTTAGTTGTTGTTTTTATAAAAGTTGTTATCATGTAGTTTGACGACAGGATTTTATACTGTTTGCATATATTTGTTATTGTCGTTGAAATTTTCTCGCATCATGATATGGCTGAGACAGTGCCGATAAATTTTAATTCACTTACCCACTTAAAAAGTTGGAACATAAAAACTAGACAGGGAGCTGAAACTGACGCGGTACCGACCAGAGACCTAAAATTGTTTTAATGCAGTCACGTTCGGGTTTCAGTTAATTCCACATCGGGAGTGCCGACAAGTTCTTCAACGAAAACTTAAATCAGCTCCCAGCTCTACAACGTAAATAATCGAGTCTGCTCCAGATACCCAGTGATTGACATCATGAGCGTCGGTCTACGCAGTTGGGACGCAAGCCTGACCACCCGATCCAGAAAGTCACCTCTGTCGACCAACATGGCTTGCTGATGGCCAAATCGAACCCGGATATTCGCTGGAAAATCCACATTTACTCACGTTGTCAACGTAAAAGTACTGGGGTACTTCAGTACAATTCTTCTGCTTATAGAAATCATTCGTTGAACATGTGAAATCAACACATCAACTATTTAACACCCAATACGGACATATGATGACAGTGTTACGGTGGCCTGTGTCTGGACCTCCGACAATAAAGCAGGACCTGTGTCTGGATCTTAGGCAATATGGTAGGGTCTGTGTCTCGACCTTAGACAATATGACAGGGTCTGTGTCTGGACATTAGCCAATATGGTAGGGTCTGTGTCTCGACCTTAGACAATATGACAGGGTCACTGTCTGGACATTAGCCAATATGGTAGGGTCTGTGTCTGGACGTCGACAGTATGGTAGGGCCTGTGTCTCGACGTCGACAGTATGGTAGGACCTGTGTCTGGACGTCGACAGTATGGTAGGGCCTGTGTCTGGACGTCGACAGTATGGTAGAGCCTGTGTCTGGACGTCGACAGTATGTATGGTCGACAGTATGGTAGGGCCTGTGTCTGGACGTCGACAGTATGGTAGGGCCTGTATTAGGGCCTGTGTCTGGACGTCGACAGTATGGTAGGACCTGTGTCTGGACGTCGACAGTATGGTAGGGCCTGTGTCTGGACCTCGACAGTATGGTAGGGCCTGTGTCTTGACGTCGACAGTATGGTAGAGCCTGTGTCTGGACGTCGACAGTATGGTAGGGCCTGTGTCTGGACGTCGACTGTATGGTAGGACCTGTGTCTGGACGTCGACAGTATGGTAGGGCCTGTGTCTTGACGTCGACAGTATGGTAGGGCCTGTGTCTGGACGTCGACAGTATGGTAGGGCCTGTGTCTGGACGTCGACAGTATGGTAGGGCCTGTGTCTGGACGTCGACAGTATGGTAGAGCCTGTGTCTGGACGTCGACTGTATGGTAGGGCCTGTGTCTGGACGTCGACAGTATTGTAAGGCCTGTGTCTGGACGTCGACATTATAGTAAGGCCTGTGTCTGTGTCATGAGTTAAGAAATACAGTTCGCTCTACCACCATGTATTGTGTAATAAAACACACTTTCGCCCTGAACTATAAAGTTAAAGTACATTGTGACGTAATGCAAAAAGTACTGTCGGCGCCTTTGATCTTTCACCAAAGCATCTTAGAATACTGATAACAGCACTGCTGCGACACATTTAATCAGGCAGGTAACGACAGGTGTTTGTCCCTGATGACCTTATACAGATGACAACACAACCTTATATTCCCAACACGTGCAGGTTACAAGACGTTGTGTCTTTACAATAATCCCCATGGATGCAGGTTCCAGTGATGATGTGATGATATCTGTCTGAATTATTGACACTGTGACACAAGAGAGTTTTCAGCAGAACATGTTTACCTGTGCAAGCTGATATAACAACTCTTCCTAGCGTCACTAGTAATATTGATTCGGCTATCTATTAGAATGGTAAATGTTGCGTTGTAACAATAATGAATTTTGTCTGGCGCCTGGTATCCAACTCGAAACTGTCAACGGCGCATCACGAGGTCTAGGAGGTATTATCCCGTATAACCCAAGCTGCCTGTGAGGTTAGAAGGTCAATAGTCACATGACTTTTTCTGCTGGGTGAACAGAGGCAATTTTGAACAAACTGACTTGCCTAAGGTGAGCCCACATGTATCACATGTGCTTCGTTGTGGGGCGGGACTGAAGTCCTAGAAACTGTCAAGAGCCAAGCTGCCAAACACGGTCACCCATCAAAAGACTCTAAGTTAAGCACGTTTTCACCGAACCAGGGTAACACTATAAGGGGATTACCCCCGAAACAACCCCAGACCAAACACTCACCAAACAGGGCACACCATAATAACTTAACATCGTATTAAATCGTATTGTCGTAAAACCGACATGTGACACTTTAAATATACCTTCAATTTCCAAAATATTAAAATCATAAAATTGGGTAGACTTCGCCATAATTCGTGTAATGAGCAAATTTGTTTTCAATTTCAATGATGACTTAGTTTGTTGGGGCTGGTTTTGTTCAACGGCACACTCAGGAACATAACTTCTTTGAGCAGTATTTATGAGTTCCTGTGTGCCAGTACCGACCAGGTGTTATTCGGTAGGGATGGAGGCTTTTATATGGAGATATTGACATAGCACAGGGAATTGTATTCGTGGTTGGATCCTCTGAAAAGATCATGGTGGGCTAGGGAGATCCGTGATCTTAGTTTGAGGATCCCGTTGATGTTGTCGAAATGTGCATGTCTTTTAATAAGAATTATAGACAGTTATTGGAGAAAGCAAAGAATAAATTCCAGCACATACATTCCAAATGGAATCAAACTGGCAGGTTAGTTTCGCATAACAATATAGAGGAAGCGGTGATTGTACCACAATGGCTTTCATCCTAAGTCTTCATTCCTGAGCCCACACATCTAGAGTGGATGCATTTAATGCAGATGATACTGGATGATAGACGGTAGGTGATGTTGGAAAAAGAGTGTTTGGAAGACCGTTGCAAGGGGGGTGCATTAATGCATTAGTGTGTATATATTTTAGTTTTGCTGAGCATAACCCTCAGTATCTTGTTCCAATATAGCAACTTGTTCACTAATACCATATAGTTCCTCGGGGAATTAAAGACACCCTCCAACTGGGTAATTCTGGACATCGAGGGGGCGGTGAGGTAGCCTAGTGGTTAAAGCGTTCG